TCTGGTGCAGCTTCTAAGGGAACCTTCCCTTCCTTCTTGCAAGGAGAATGGCCACCTCACTCAACAGCCTGGAATCCACATGGCTTTGCTTTCCTTGAGCCCTTTGCACAGGAAACCCGGTCAGACACACCCCAGACATCCCCACTGGAGGGAGGGGGCTCCTGCTGACCTGCGCTCTCGCTCTCTCTCTCTCTCTCTCTCTCTCTCTCTCTCTCTCACACACACACACACACACACACAACCCCACCTCTGAGCCAGCAGGATGCCACTGAATAAATAGGAACCTTGTCCCTGCCGGAACTCCGCATCTCCCAGCTGGGTCAACAGATGCCTCTCTCGGCACAGCAGTCCCTGCACAGCCCGTCTCAACTTGCCGTCCCCACACTTAATCCATAACCCAGTGGCAGGCTTGGAGCCGAGCCAGAGAGAAAGTTAAACTGGCTTGCTTAGACCTGGTGCTTTACTTTAAATGATAGTCATTATTAATTAAGCACCTATAAATTAAGTGCTGTACAGAACAAGAAAGTCCTGCCCACGGGCTTACGATCTCAAAGAACAACCCCCACCACAACCCCCCAAAAAGATAAAGAACAAATAGCAGGATACATAAAGGAAGGGGGACAAGAAAGCGACCCACATTTTTAAAGGGGAGGGGGAGAAGAGAAATATCTCCAAGATATAGAAGGTCTTGGGGCTGGAACTGAGACTAGTAAATGCTTCATTGGCCTTGGATCTTGACTGTGATAGAGCCAGCTGTGTAAGCACTCTGGCTATGCTCTATGGCACCAACTTCTTCACTGTTACTGTTTTTAATATCTCAATTCAATTCCCAGTACTGGCAAAAGGTTCCTGGGCTCTGCCGGGATCCAAAGGGGAAGGCAGCTAGGGCAGTGAGTCTTGCAAGAAAGCCCCCACAAGTTTATTTACCTATTTAGAAGTATTTATCGGCCACTTTTCAGGGCAGATTATATTAAGAGTTTTGTCTTTTTGCCTCCCCCCCCCCAAAAAAAAATTTGATGAGCATTGCCATTCAAATAATTGTCTTGTGATCAATTACGTGGGGGAGGGCTTACCTGGGGCCCCCAGTATTTTGTTCAAGTCAGCACCCCTGCCATGAACCTCTGCTAATCATAGATTGATAAACACTTTCAGTTTCCAAAAGGAATCAAGGTATCACCATTCCCCCCCCCCCCCATATCCTCTCCCAACAATTCTGTAAGACAGGGCCCTGTTTACAGTGGCACCTTGGGTTACAGATTCTGCTAACCCAGAAATAGTACCTCGGGTTAAGAACTTTGCTTCAGGATGAGAACAGAAATCGTGCGGTGCCAGCGGGAGGCCCCATTAGCTAAAGTGGCACCTCAGGTTAAGAGGACCTCCAGAACGAATTAAGTTCTTAACCTGAGGTACCACTGGACATGCTTACGAGGAGAATTTGTATCTTGCTATTCAACAGAAGTCCTTGCAATAGTTCGTAAAACCAAGAAACAACAAGAAGCAATGGATATATTAAAAGCCATCCATTTAAAAACAAAACACTGTGACTTCCATTCTGTGTTTAAAGAGCTGTGACTGAAACATGGCAGCAAAAGGTGCGACTTGGAAGACAGCTGTGTGTGTCCCATTCCCCCTGGGAACGACACTAAAATTCCTTTCCAAAGAATGCAGTAGGGAGAAGAGAGTCAGGAAAGGAAAGCCAGAGGCAGATGACCCAAGCCCTTGTGTTTTGGATCAGTCTCTAGGAAGGCAGGGCTCCCGGCTCCCGCTCTCTCTCTCTCTCTCTGTGTCTCTCTCTCTCTCTCTCTCTCCTTTCCGGCTCCTGTCAGCTACATCTCAGGGCGTGGCTGGGAGGCAACGACTGTGTGCAGCTTCCTGAAGATAAGATCTCCGGCAGCGAAGGGCCCCTGCATGCTTTGAATTCCTGCGCTGGCTGGAAAGAGACAGAGTGCTCTCTTCGACAAACAGCAGCTAGCAGATAACACAAGCAGAGGAAAGGTCTTTGGACTCCATGCCTTTATAAGCCACCCTTCACAGGATCAAGTACTGCCCTGTACAGATGGCCCTTGCAGCTTTGGCAGGGATAACATCCAAGTCTATAGCTGGGCCTTCCAGCCAACCCACCCTCTCTTTTAATTTACTATAAAAAAAATCATTTAGACACAAGTCATGCAATGCCATAATACAAGAATCAAAACAAAACAACAGCATATGCTCTCTTTTGAAAAATGAATGGATCTACCCTGTGGTAAGGGGTCATCACCAGTGTCTCCACAACTCACCCCCAACACCAGTTGTATTTATAAAAAAATAATAATTTGTCTTGTTTGTTTGTAATCTTGCTTAATGAGCATGCCTGAACTGCAGCTCAAAATCCTCATTTTGAGCATTTTCATAGGGACATAAGAAGTTGGCTTATATAGAGTCAGACCACTGGTCTACCTTGGGTCAGTATATAGGCAACTCAGACCAGTTTCCAGGGTTGCAGACAGGAGTCTGTCCTATCTGGAGATGCAGGGCGTCAAACCTGAGGCCTTTCTCAATGCAAAGGCTGTGCTCCAACACGAAGCTGCAGCCATTTCTCCCAAAGGACAGGTCACCCCATTGCTCCATTCTCTCAATAAACCTGGAACGTGGGTTGGGATGGGAGAGTGAGAAAGTGATCTAAGGTGAGCATGGAAGATGATTAAGCTGGTGCTCTAGAGCAGAGTTCTTCCATCTTGAGTCCCCCGCCAGATTAGCCAACGGATGGAGAAGACTGCTCTAGTCTAGATCACTGCTTTTCAGTAGTGCTTTGGAGCACCTTGTCAACACCAACTTATCTGCCAAAGAGCTTGTGCGCACATGCAAGTTGTAGAGGATTATGGCGAGTGTTCTTGAGCCCATGCACTGGCCAGGCCTACTAAGCTTCACCACTGCCCTGTACAAATAGTGTATGTGCTAGACTGCGCACACCCAGTCTAGCAGGGAAAGATAGGCAGTGGTGGGCAAGCTTGTCGCCATTACTGAAAACCCCTGGTCTAGAGTCATAGCGGCTTTCAAGAACTTCCAGGACACAATTTAAGCGTCTGCCCATGATATGGGGAGAGCTGCGCATGCCCCACACTAGAAAGGGGACACCCACAGTATGCACTTAAAGCACTACGATATCACTGTAAACAGCTGTGGGTTTCCTCAAAGAATTCTGGCAGCTATTGTTTATTAAGTGGAAGACCCCTATTCCCCTCAAAGAGCTGTGAGGAGGGACTGTCTGTTCATCCATTCTAGCAATTGTAGCTCTGTGAGGGGAATGGGGGTCTCAGCACTCTTAACAAATGACAGCTCCCAGAATTCTTTCAAGGAAGGCATGACTGTTTACAGTGGAATTTTTTTCTTTAAACCTATGGTGTGAATGTGGCGAAACCTTTGGCAGGTGCTCCATAACTATGGAACACCTTTTTGCTGCCAGGGTTTTTATTTTCCATTTGGGTGGACAGCCAAATTGGGAAGCCTTATTTAAAACGGACCTCATTTCATTTAATAGTGTTCTTAAAACAGAGAAATAGCACTACTTGATTATTTCAAGAAACAGTTATTTCATTGCATACACTGCTATTTTGTAAGAAGCTCAGTCAGCGACATATGTCCTTTTCTTAAACCAATAAATTACACAAAAGATTCCCAAACAAACCAGAGATGCACCAATGTGGGATGGAATTTCCTCCCCTGTTTCATAAGCTCATTAGTAACAGCGAACAGATGCCACTTGCTAATGCAATATTAGGCAAGTTTGGCAGTTTCAAAACTGTTAAGCTTTGTTTACTAAATACAAGTAAAGCAGACATGCTAAATTAGGTATCTCAGTCTAGGGCATCAAAATTCCCCCCCCCCCAGTTTTTCTGATGCAAACTGCCCCATGCAAATTATTCCAATTCAAAATATTCTGGCAAACATACTGCGCTAGAAACATGGGAGATCTAAAAATGAACACTTCCACCAAGAAAGGATAGCAGTCTAATGCCTCAAATCCTAAACTTGGGAGTCAATTCTAACTGAACTAAATTTTGCTTTCTTCTGCATAAGCATGGCTATAAGTGGGCTGAAAATGTAAAAAACAAAACAAAAACCAGAGCAACTTGTATGAACCTGAACAGGGGAGTGTGGATTGGGGAGACCAGCGGCGGAGGAAGCTGTGGGCGGACCGTTTGGGCAGCGCAGAGCCTGTGCGCGCCCAACCCACTGCGTCTCTCCCAGGAGAGACGTGTGGCTCCGGTGCACTGCAAGCCCCACACCCCCCTTCCTCCACCCCTAAGGGAGACAGTAAATGAGAGAGGGAGAGGAGGGTTCCACTATGCTACTGTATGACCAATGCAAAAGTGATTAACTCTCCACCCTCCCCAACACACGCACACTCACAAGATGATAGGATTTGGGGATACCTCTAGAACTGCTTACTCTCTAAGCTCTAAATCAGCTGTCCAACAGCTTCCAAACTGATAAAGCTTCATCACACCAGATTTCCCACCACAGACCTAAGGGGGTGTGGAGGGCAGACACCAGCAACCTTATTACATCCCATCAATTTGGTGAAGCGCCTCCTCACACTTCCCCACAGAGCCATCCAACATGCAAACAAGCTGCCTTTCTTTAATAGCCAGCCCACAGGTCCCAAAGAGAGAATTTGCTCCCTTACAAATAGCGCTTTTAATTTCCTCGTAATGAAACGGTGCGGGGACTTTTCGCTTGGTCACCATCCACCTAAAAGCATTTGAAAAATGGAACAGTCCTCACTTTTACATTTCAGTGCAGACAGCTGTCAAGGCGCACACCCCAGAGAACAATCCGAAGCATATTGAATTGGGTGGTACGCTGTCGACACGCAGAAATGAACCTGTGGATTGTGGATGTTCAAAAATAGTGTGTGTGCATGTATGCAAATACACAGGCAATTGCTACATTTGCACATGGCAATAAGTCAAATGCTGTCCAATCACTCCCACTTTGCTTCTCCCCTTGTTAAGAGAGGCTAGCTCACTTGGTAGAGCATGAAACTATTACCGTAATCTCAGGGCCGTGGGGTTCCAGTCCCATGTTGGGCAGAAGAGTCCTGGGTTGCCGGGAGTTGGAACAGACAGATGACCCTCGAGGTCCCTTCCAACTTCTGTTAATCTATGAATCTATTCTATGAGTGAGATGAAAAAGCCTTGGCTTCCCATTACATTCAAACTAGGGGCTGCTGTTTGTTGCACCTGAAGTTAAAATAGTTTCTATGGCTAGATGATGATGATAATGATAGTGTTAGTATTTGTACCCCACCCATCTAACTGGGTTACACACATACACACCCCGCCACTTTGGGCATATTCCAGCATATACAAAAACATAATAAAACAAACATTAATAACTTTCCTATACAGGGCTGCCTTCAGATGTCTTCCACAGGGAGGGTGCCACTACTGAGAAGGCCTTCTTCTGCCTGGTTCCCTGTAACTTCAATTCTCACAGTGAGGGAACCGCCAGAAGGTCCCCCTACATGTTCATACAATTGTAGAGTAGCCTCTGCCCGCCCCCCCCCCCAAAAACCTAACACACATACAAGCGGCCACAACAGCTCTAGATTTCAGTAGAGAGGATAGAACAACCACCCAGCTTTCACACTGACCAAGCAGCCATGGGTTTAAATTACATGGGGCAAGGTGGAACAGACTTAATTAAGGCTAAACTGCGAAGTGAAAATATATATAAAAGTAATCCAGTGCTGGAGCAAAACACTTGCAGCGGGAAGGAATGGTCAGGAGTGTTTCAGATGTAAGAAGTTCTCCAGATTTCGCAGGCAAGCTAGACAGACCCAGAAGGCCCTTCCCTTTGCAACCTGGCTGCGTTTTGCATACCAGCCTCCTACCAAAAGAGTTCCTCTCAGAGCAACATGTGTGTGGTTTCTTTTCATCTTCACATGAACCTTGTGAGCTAGTGTTCACTTCCCAAAGGCCTAGCGGAGCCATGACCCAAAATGGAGGGGGGGGGGGAATTTGACTCTCAGCCTTTAGTTCTTACTGTGGTGATAAATCTGTGTCATCTGAATCATTTCAAGATGGCATCTGGTGGCATCTGGGGTGAATGTGTGTGGGGTGCCCACCCACAACATCCCCATGAACACTGGCTCTGCGTCAGACTTTCCTGCTTTGAGAGTGAAGATCCGAAAGGAGATTCGAAGTGCATTTTGCTTAGTATGTGCCCTTCAGATCTTCCCCCTCAATGCAGGGAAACTCTGAAGCAGACACACACAGGCGTATTGAGGACCTTTAGCCCATGTGCACTCATGCAAATGCCTGAATAGGGCCAGGATTTCAGTCAGAAGGTTTCTAGCCTAGCCTGACAGACTACTTTTCTACATGCGGGGAATCCTTTTCACGGAACGCTACTAGGGAATGGGAGCTCCCATACCTGCAGCCTGAAGTGGTACAACTCAAAGCCAAGTGTTACCTGTTTAATAGTTAGAACAAGGTTTTATTTTGTTACACTTTAGTCAACTGTACCCTTCCAGCCCTACCTGCCAGCACTGGTGACCACAGGATTTTTTTAAAAAAAATTCTTATTTTTTTGTGGCATGAGAAGTGAAGTAAAACACTGAAATGTAGGAGCAGGACACTTTATCACAGAAACATGAGAGTAATATGTTGTTTTAAATGTGCATTTTAAATTTGACTTCACTTAGCAATCGAAAGCTGAAAATCTGGGTTCAACTGCAGGGGACAACTGCCACCCCACACCTGGAGGCACCCAAGTTTGCCCAGCCTTCTTGCCACCCCCACCTCCGCAGAAGCCCTCCTAACTTTGATTTAAAAACCCCATAATCGATCACACCCCTACCATTTCTCACAGACCCTCCCTTTGCAAGAAAACAGCTAAAAGATCACCCACCCACCCCAAAGTCCTTAATTACTTCAAAGCTGCTGGGGAGAATTCCCTTTTGCTTCCCACACCAGTCCTCAAGTATGGTAGTTAAAACATTTCATGGAGGCGGAAGGGGTTGGGAGCACTAACCGAAGCTCACGTTCTCACCCCCAAAACTTTCTGAAGTCTTCAAGTTATTAAAACAAACCACCTTGGCCACTGATCTAGTCAAACCACAGGAGGATAAGAGCAAAAAATTAACTCCAGAGACAATGAGCTTTGTTCGTTATCAAAGTGAGGATTTGTTTTAGGTTACAGAAGATGGCCTTGAGGGATAGGATGCTGCTAGGGAGGACTTCCTGCGATTTACAAACTTTCTACTCTCAGCCCAACGGGGACCTTTCCACGTGGATTTGCCTGCAGAGGAATTCCTATCATGGCAGAGAATTCTGGGACAAGAGCACAAATTGCCAGAGCCAATATTCTTGGGAGCATTCTGGTGCAGTGAGATGAAATCCAGCACTCTCCTGCAACTCTGGACTGCGATAAATGATTGTCAGTTCAGTGGTACCTCGGGTTACAAACACTTCGGGTTACAGACTCCGCTAACCTGGAAGTAGTACCTCAGGTTAAGAACTTTGCCCCAGGATGAGAACAGAAATCATGTGCTGGTGGCGGGAGGCCCCATTAGCTAAAGTGGTACCTCAGGTTAAGAATGGTTTCAGGTTAAGAACGGACCTCTGGAACGAATTAAGTTCGTAACCAGAGGTACCACTGTATGGGAACTGCCAGACCATGTGAAAACCACTAGACGTGGAAGGGAATCTTGCCTTTCTTTTTACATAAACAACAGGGGTAGCCTATGTGGTACTTTCCAGATATACTGGACTACAACTCCCATCATCCCTGACCACATGGCCAAGCTTTCTGGCAATCTGCCATGACTGGAGGACAGGCTATTCCTAGCACAGACCATTTATGCAAATTATGTTATTGTAGCCTGTCTTTGGTTGACTTGCAACCCAACTTTCCTGCTAAAATCTGCACCAGGGAACCCCCTCTAATACAAGAGTGAAGACTATGGAAGGGCCTCCTTAGTCCAGTATGGTAATGTGATTTTATCTGATGGTATAACTTTTGCACTGGGTACCTTGCAAATCAGATGGATTCCTTTACTTGTATAAGGTCTGATGCAGACTAAGATCAAGGCCCTCGATAAAAATGTCCATTCCACCTTATCCAAGGCCTTTTCTCAGCACCAGTAAAATGTAACACAGCTTTATTATTATTGCCATCTGTAAATAATAATGTTCAAAACCTTTTGCTATGGGTTAGTTTCCTCCCCTTCAAAAAGCCTGATTGGTTTCTATGTCCATACTTAAGATATAATTCCACTGAGCGGTTTTAACATGGACAGCAACATTTTATAAAATCAACAGTGGTGTAGCGGAGCAGGAATGAGGAGGAGCACAACTCCAGTTGTTTTTTTCACATGAGGAGCAATGACATCATCTACTGGAGCAGTATTTGACAGTGCTGTAAGCTTGGGGAATTGGAGGACGGGTCTGGCCTTGCATATGATCCCATTGTTAGGTATGTGAGGCTCAGACAGTGAGTGTCCTGAGATCACCCAACTCTCCCGAGGCTGAATAATTGGACTCTCCTTAGGGGTGTAGCTATGGGAGTTGACATGATAAGCTCCTGCACTTCAAAACGTACCACTAAACCACTGTATGATACTGAGCAAGGATGTAAGTTGACGTGACTCATCTGATTAAGGTTTTCCCCCAGAATTAAGAAAAACACAAACTCTACCATGTGTTCAATATCCTGTCCTTTGTAGTATATTCTGGGAAAACATCAGTTAATTGGCAGGCTAATATATTATAAATCTTTCTGCGTTATTCTGAAGTGACGCAAGATCTGGTGCCTTATTAATTTTCAAAATCTTAACAGCTTCAATTGCTTCTTGTTCAGAAACTGGAAGATCCAGTTCTTGTTTATCATCTTCTCATATTTCTGGCAATTCCGTTTTACTCAAGAGTTCATCTATATCCTCAATAGAACAATTTACCAGCTGTAATAAATTATAATAACATTCTACAACTTGATGTAAAGTTTATTTGCCCAACTATATTTCTTCTTCTTTTATATCTGTGTTGGACAGCTTTTTTAAAAAAAAATCTATAATAGTAACATGTTTTAATTTTTCTCAGAAATGCTCAACTTACATGGCACCCTCTCAAATATGCTTTGGAAGTTTCCCACACTGATAAAAATCAATTAGCTGAGCTAGATTGACTTTGAAAACAATTGCCACATGTTCAAACCTACAGTCAAAAGGCAACCATATCTGGTTTGGACAGAACAATAAGCCAGGAATTGTGGTTTGTTGATCCCACTTCCATCAGGAAAGGAGTGGGAGCAATCACTACACTCACAGCAAACCATTAACTATGGTTTACTGTGACATGTGAACTGGGTCAGTCTTTGATCCCTGCATTGTAATAGCCACACATAGCTAGTAAGGTATTATCCTGCAGACATTTCTTTCTTTTTTTAAGGCTATTTATTTCCTTGGTAGTTGATCTTTAATTTTGTATTATTGTGGCTTATATTGTGCTGTTTCTAAAAAACAGGTGATAAAAAGAATTAAATAAATTATTATTATTATATTTTTACTACCATTACAGTGGATCTTCCGGATACGAATTAAATTTTGCAACCCAAAAAGTCCGTCGGCAGAGATGCTGCTTCTGCACACACACACGGCGCGATTGAGCGATTCTGCGGATGCGTGCACAGCGAAACCCGGAAGTATACACTTCTGGGTTTGCCACGTTCATAACCTGAAAGTTACATATCCAGAGCGGTACGTAACTAGAGGATCCACTGTATTATTATTATTATTAAGTCATTATGCATAAGTCAATTCTGCTGAAAGGAACAGGGCTTACTCCTATTACAATTTCCATTTGCAGTTTTTATCTTAGTCCATCTCTCACAACTATCCCATGAAGTGGTTATTTAATGTGCCCATTTTTTATGGCTGAAGGAACTGAGGCTGAGATAATTATACCTTATGAGGAATGCAAATGAAACATTTTGCCAGAACTCCATAATCTTCCCTTGAAACTCCATAGTTGTTTGACTCTGCCCAATTCTACCACTGATGATATGTCATCGCTCTCCCTTTGCTTTCATA